ATATCGCTGGAAATACACTCAAGTGAGACACATAGGGGGAGCGTTATTTCTTATGCAGTTTCCTAGCTACCTCCTTCCCAGAGCCAACGGTTAGGCTGAAGCTGTCCCGCTCACGAGAGCCTACGAAATTGCGTGGACCAACGTCAGAGAAAAGTGAAGGTTCTGACGGGTTGCTGCGGAGGAAGGTTTTTATACTTTACAAGCGCCACCACGCCCCTGACCGAAGAACCCACCCACATTTCAGAGCCCACCAAACGGCTCTACAGCGCCGTCGCCCCACCGACCGACCGCCTACCTCTCTTAATCCCTACCTTAAACCAACTTTAAACCAACCTCTTCCTTTCTCTCCTCCCCGCCCCTTCGCCTCGCCAATCCTACATCCGGCATGCACTGCGCGGACCTTTTTCTTCCGCCGACCCCCACCTTCGGGCGCTTCCAGATGACAAGCGGCGCGGAGCACTATGGGCCTATACGCAGAAGCGAGGCAGGAGCAGAAAAAAAGAAAGCAAAAGACGAGCGAAAGCCGATAGGGCGGCCCCCCGCGCACGCGCGCGGCGGCGGCTGGGGTTGAAAAGAGGTAGAGCTTCGTCTACGGCGAGCGGAGTGGGGCGGGGTCGCGCGGCCTTGGCTGGGAGTCCGCGAGCCGGCAGGGGTGGGGGTGTGGGTTAGGGAGCGGGCGGAGGAGGAAGTGTCATGGCGTCGTGCCGTGGAGCTTCTTCTCGCTGGTTCTTTACTCGGGAACAGCTGGAAAATACGCCGAGCCGCCGCTGCGGAGTGGAGGCGGATAAAGAGCTCTCGTACCGCCAGCAGGCGGCTAACCTTATCCAGGAGATGGGACAACGTCTCAACGTGTATCCTTTCCTGTTCTTGGCCCTTAGCTGCTCACGCCCTGTCTCCCTCAGTAGTCGTCCTGTCTCCGGGCTTGGCGTCCCGCGAACATGGCGCCGCTGCCTTCGGTCGGGCTCGGGCTCCGGCTCCGAAGGCCGCGAGAGGCCAGCGGAGGAGGGGTGAAAGAGAGGAGTCCGAGAATGTGGTTTGGGAGGCTGCGTTGTGTAACCTGTTTGGGTCCGCGCGTGGTGGTGGCGGCGGGGTATGGGCGTACCGCAGAGACGTGAGTCAGGATTATCGCAGTTGAGAGACGGCAGCCTGGTTTTCTCTTCCGTGAGGGTATGGGAGGTAGGAAGGTTAGTGAAGCTGAAAGGCGTCTTATGTGTTCCCAACCTTTCCCCGCGCTCCTCGCATGTTTGATGGCGGTTCTCTCGTACCTTGGGAACCCACGGGAGGTCTTTCTGTTCTTGGCGTGGTTTTGTACAGATGTGAGCGCGCGTTTCAACTGTTTGATTTTCGGTTTATTGATAAGTCCTACCTGAGCTCATTTAGTAGTAATATTAGAAAGAAGTGCTCAGAGTTGTTATTACTATTCGTTTGGCGTCGAGCCTTCACCACCCTGCCGGGCTTTATTATTTTAACGAGTTTTGGTTTGTTTTTGTGTGGACGGGAATTTTCTATCAGTTTTGAAAATGAGATCTTGTTATTTTCTCACATATTTCCTAAATGTAACGTTTCAGCTCTCAGCTTACAATAAACACTGCGATTGTTTATATGCACAGGTTTTATATGTACCATTCTTTCACCAAATTCAATAGAAACGTAAGTACTATTTTACTGTCAGTTTTTACTACAACCAAATTAACGCAGAAAAAAAAGTTGGTTTTATTTTTGGATGTAGTGTTCTATTAATGAAGGTAAATCTCATGATGAATGTTTTGCTTCAATTGGCGGAGTTTTGGGGATTTAAAAAAAATTGTGATTATAAGCTGCCAGGCACTGTGTTAGGCTCTGCCAGGGCCTTTGAACTAAAAGATAAATAAGAACCATTTCTTTAGTTGAAGGGTTATTAAATCGATATAAGTTTAAATTTTACATTTATTCAATGATTTTCAATCGTAATGTTAAGTGTAATTTGGGCAAGCCTAGTCATTCTTTTGTACATCTTAATTGTCTCGGACTCATACTGTTTTCAAATACTGTGACTAGGAATTAATTCAATTGTAACAATTTGAAATGACCTTTTGAAAGAATTAAATGTTCACCAGAAATATTTCACTTGCTAACAATAATTTAAGATGTTAAACACTCTTGTTTATCACACATTAGCATTAGTTGTTTCCTTAAATTTTTGATGATTCAAACATCAAGTCTTGCTTCCAACATTGTGTTGTGGGGTGGGGTATAATTTTGAAGTAAAACTTCTCCTCCAATGTTGAGATGCTGAGTTTGAACATAATCTGTATGACAGATTTAGTAATGGTGTTTAGTTTTTATGTTATGAAAGTTGTGAATTTGGTCTGTTCGTTTCAGAATAAGATGCGTATACTATGTTGCATCTGTTAACAAAGAAAATTGTGTATTGTTTAGAAATATTTAACCCTACCTTAATTCTCACTGTATTTTTTGGTCTTTTTATCACAGCTATTTTTAGAATGCTATTCCAAAAGGTGTGGGTAGAGAAGTGGACCAGGGAAGACTTTATGCTATTTGTGGATTGTCATTAGGACCTTACAAGCTAAGAAAACAGTCTTTGAAAAATCCTTAATTTTAAAAATTAAAACGAAAAGCATCGTAATTTAGATTGATTCCTGTTTTAATATATTCTGATCATAAGTCTCACTTGGTGTATTAGATCGGCATATAGATTTATCTTGAACAGTATATATTTTTTTTTGTATGTGTTTTGGTCTTGCATTCTTTGTTGCTTCTACTCTTTTAAATCTGCATGATTCTTGATCTGCTTCCATTTTCCTAGTATTTATTGTGCAAAGAACTTAGGTCAATAATGGTGTTATGGAAGAGAGAGGAAGCTTTATTGGTAATAACATTTAGATTGAGAGAATTAAATTTTTAAAAATATTTTAATTTGTTTATTTTTAGAGAGGGGAGGGGAGGGAGAGAAAGAGCCAGTGAAACTGCAATGTACAGTTGCCTCTCTCATGCACCCTACTGGGGACCTGGCCTGCAACCCAGGCATGTGCTCTGACTGGGAATCAAACCACTGACCCTTTGGTTCACAGGCCAGCACTTAATCCACTGAGCCACACCAGCCGGGATGAGAGAATTAAGTTTTTATTTAAATTGTCTCCAGTGGCAGTAGTGAACTAATGAATCATAATATAAATGTGGCATTCCTTTAGCCCTGGAAAATGCTGATAGAAATCAAGTCAGAATAGCTCTAGAAATTCTTTCTGTGGTTACAGATGTCCCATTTGCTGAATCGGGCTTACTTTTTTTCTTCCAAGAAATGAGCTCTCCATAAGACTACACTTATTTTGAATCCTCCCTCTTCCATAATTTGTCTCTATGGCCTGGTTTTTGTGCTTTAAAACTATTTTGCTTATAGCTAAAATTCACCAGCTTCAACTTTTATTGGTGAACTCCAGGTCACTCGAATTCTAACTTTCACTATTTTATTTAAATGCCATTGTTTAATTAAAAGCTAGAGTTTTAATTTTTATTACCTTAGTGCTGTCTTATATGTGTGTAAGTAAACTTAAACATTTGACATTGACTTATTATTAGGATAATTGAAATCTGATGTTAATTTCTATTTTAAAAAGTAACATTGCACCATTGATATCAAATTGTTTTTACTTTTGCTATTAAATCAAAAGTGGTTTTAATATTTCTGTTGGTGCACTTACATCAGTTGTACAGCCTCACTCTTTTATCCTTTTTCCCTATTCTTTTAGGGTGAATGGGGTAGTCTTAAACATGAGTCATTTTTAAATTCATACTCCCCCACATCATTGGGGAAAAATTTTTATAGGATTATAATGGAATGGAATAATACAGTAAACTGACAAAAAGCATGAGTCCTCACAAAGTAAACTAACATCACTGAGTAAATTAAACCCTAACACACTTAAATTTTAAGATGCTGGTTGACAATACACCTAGTTTTAATTATGCATTAATTACTAAAATATTCTTTATTATTAATGTCGTTTCATTTTTCCCACATCGACAAACTTTAAAAGTAAAAAATTCTGTAAAACCTAAGTGCTGTTGTATTGAAGAATAAAACCAAGTTTCAACATGTTTTGTGACCCAGAAACTTTTGTCATTGAATTTCATTGTCTTTTCTTTTGGAGAGTAGTATCATAATCAGCAGTAAATGACTTTTGTATGTAACCTAGAAAGATAACTCTGCCCTTTTCTCACTGAATGCAATGAGGTTTATGTAGTTGGGATTAGTAATTAAAAATTGGCTCTTACTGGATCAAGCTCAATACAAATCTAGTAAAATATATAAAAGCCTTGGAGCTAACAGTGCCTCCAAGGTATATATTGTGGGAGAGCATCCTCCCCAAGGTCAATCATAGATTAGATATTGACCCAGTTTCTCTTTAATTTGGTTAGATAACTTTATGGTTCATTTGTATATTCCAAGCCTATTGAGTTCTGTTAAGATTGGGTTGTAAAGAGCACACTCTTTACTGAATTTTGTTGGTCATGGTCTCTTGTCATAACACTTCCCTTAGTTTCTTTGCCTCTTTAAGCTGCAGCAGTCAACTGTACATGAGATGCTAAATTTAAGTGTGTCATGATTCTGTTCAAGGTTCGAAGAGTACATGGTTGGTTAAGGACAATATTCAAGACTAGGGATGACTTTAAGGAATGACTATAATGACTTTTAAGAATGAATGCATCAATTTCTCATATCTGAGTTTGATTTAATACAGCTAAGTTTGATTGGTCAGCTAATATACATAAGCAAACTTATATTTGCTTGTGCTAACTTTGGATTACCACATTTTGCTGACAGTATTAATCTTTTCTCAATTGATTCAGCTCTTGACTGGTAGATATCACTTGAAAATTGGAGGGGTTTTTTTGTCTATCTAGAAAGGTGCTTAGTATCTCTTCTTTGATAATATAACATTCTTAAAATTTTTTAAATTGATTTTTGAGGGAGGGAGGGTGGGAAGAGAGATTAAACTTGGATTTGTTGTTCCCATTTATTTATGCATTCACTGGTCGATGCTTGTATGTGCCCTGACTGGGATCAAACCCCTTTTTAAAAGTAAATTTTACCCACTTTACACTGTGCTCATTTATAATCATATTAGTCATAAAATTGTCATACATGATTGCTTTTTGTGAAAGAAGACATTTGGGGGGAATTGGTTAGCCAAAGGGTCTTGCTTTAAGTTTTTATTGTGAAACCTCTAACTTTTCTCAAATGTAGCAATGTAGATAAAGTTAAATGTAAAAACACTATCCTCCCCAACACACACACATGCACACGTTCAAATGACAAACTAGAAGGTAAGTTCTGTGAAGAGCAGGGTTTTTTGTTTTCTTTCTCTTTGGCTTTGCTTATTTGTGTTTCTAGTACCTCTCAGAGCAGATATTCAGCAACTGTTTAGCAATAGAATGGATCAAATCTTGTTACCCATAGCTCTTTTATATGAGTCCTTATATTTTCCTCCACATACATCTTCTCCACAGACACATTTACAATGTTTTTTTTTTAATTGAAAACAAATATAGGCATGTAGTAAATGAAAACCATACAAAAAGGAATATGATTAACTTCCCTCCAATCCAGGTGTCTAAGCCTTCTGCCCTACAGCATGTTGTTGGGGTATTTGTGTGCCCTTGCAGAAATACATTTTGCTTGTTCAGGCATGTATGTATGTATGTATGTTTTTCAGCTCAGAAATCTTCCCCACACAGTTCTTAGATCTAGCACACAGCAGCATGCAGAATTGGACTCATCCTAGTTGGGATAGTATGGCTATTTCTAGGAGAGTAATTTTTAAGATGGCACCAAAAGGAATAGTATATTTAGATTGACCCAGTGGATCTAAACTGGGGGCAATTTAGCCCAGTTGACAGTGTCCACAGACATTATTGGTTTTCACAATGGGGGAAGGGGTGCCAGTGGCATCTCATAGATAGAAGCCAGATGCTGCTAAATACCCCGCATTGCACAGGACAGAACCCCATAACAAAAAGTTATACCTGGTCCAAAATGTCAATAGTGGTGAGGCTGAGAAAACCCTGCATTAACCCAAAGAGTTAAGTGGGGGAGGGAGACTAAAACTAGGTTATTTTTCACTAGATTGATTTTGAGTGCTTGGTGAATTTCATCTATTCCATAAGAAATTGCCTTTTCATATGTAATTCCACAAGGACCTTAAGAACAAAGATAATATTTGTAGTTTTTTTAATTGAGGGTTTTAGGGAAGCATTTTGAAACTTAAAGTTTAAATTTACTTTGTTAATAAATGCTGCCTTTCTGTGAAATACTGTTTTTTAGCTTCTTGTTTTGAGTTTGTTATGAGTTTGACACCATATTAATAAATATGTTTTTCTAATTTGCCTTCTGGTTTTGTTTATGTTATAATTTTGTTAAGTTTGTTAAATCTACTAGGCTTTACTTTTGCTTTTCATTATCTTCATGCTTACTTGGATATAAGTCTCACCCTATGTTTATTTACTGATATGGGCACAGTTCTTGGGGGTTTTTGTTTGTTTGTTTGTCTTTATTGGGTTTACTTTGGCATGTGGTTCCTAAACATTTATTTGAAGTTGATATACTCTTTAATTCAGATAAGGCAGGTAATCATAAACAAAATACTTTGTCTAAATTCACACACCAACAGTGACGAAAGCAAAAATCACAGGCAGATCTGTGCTACATAGCTCATGCAGTTGTCACTATGTATACCTCAAGTATCTTTTTCTGAAAAGCTCTTCATATCTCTGAAATTTCTCAATGAAAGCAGTATGTGTAAAACTTTTGTGTTGTGCCACTCGTGGTTTATCATCTACCTGCATCAGAATTATCAGGGTAGTCATTAAAAATATACTTTACTGGACTGTGCTGTAGACCTGTGTTATCAGAATATTTGTGGTATCTGGGATTCTTGACCTTAGCAAGCTTCCCAGGTGATACTGTAATGGCCTCTCAATTTGAAGACCGTTGGTCTAAATTTTGCTTTGTTCCCCTGTATGTCTGATTATCCATTGTTAATGTTGTGAAATCTGAGTGGTGGTTTTCATTAAACCCCCTCCTACTTCTGCCTTTTAATTAATAAAACAGTCTAAGGATAATCTTAAATTCAGAAATTCATTAATACTATTGGGAAATACGCAGTGCTATCCAGTAGAACTTTCTGCAATAATGAAAGAATTTTGTATCTTTGCTGTTCAAATCAGTAGATACTAACCAAAAATAGATCCCTAGATTATAAATTTGAGATTATTAGACTACTAAATTCTTTAATTAAATTAAATTGCACCAATGAAAATTTAAGGTCCCATTATGTAAACAGGCACTTTACTTACCTCAACTAAAGTATTATCCTCCTGAGAAAACAGATGTGTTTACTAAGTGACTTGTCCAAATCTAAGCAGCCATTGTATGATTGGCATTTGAACTCAGATCTGTTGCCTAATCCCTAGTTCTCTCACTTTTGTCCTACCCTAATATGTGTAAGAAATAGGGTGCACTAACAGTTGATGCCAGTGATTTCTGAGGGAATGAGTGGACAAATAAATGAAAATACTCTTAGGTTTTGGTTTGCTTACTCATTGGAACAAAGTTCTTTGAAAATTAGGCCCCTAATTCATTCCTCTTTCTGCCATATCACTTCCTGTCTTAGCATTTATGGATTGTACATCCTGCCTGTTGCCCCTTTTTTCCCTATATGGTGCTTTCTGTTTTTCATGTGATGGTGGTTTGTCAGATTTTATGATTCAGCCAAAATTACAACTCTTCTTAAAGCATTTCCCAGATTCTAACTCCACTCTTTGACTTCTACCTATTTATCTCTAATCTTATCCTTTGAGTCCTATTCACACCCTATTCCATTTATTTGGTGTCCTTTATTTAGTGCTGAGGCAAAACCATGCATATGTGAGGTGAAGTGCTTATTATTACTGCTGTTATTGTTATAAAATGTAACACAAGCATATAAAACCACCAGATGTATAGGTTAGTGAAGTATAAGGCAAACAACCTTGTAAATCCCACTAAATTCAAGAAACTAACTACCCCAGAAGTGCTTCTATGTGCCCCATTTTGTTGTCAACCCCCTCCCTCCACAGAGTAACCAGTATCCTTTTGTTACAGTAGTCACTTTTTTCAGTTCATTTATAGTTTTACTACCCAATTCTGAGTTCCTAAATACCAAAGTTTAGTTTTGCCTGTTATTAAAAATTTGATAGGCCTTTTAAGTGCTTTCAATATACAGGTTTTTTCTTTCTATCCCTAAATTTTATCTGTTGAAAGACCTACGGCATTAGACCTGAAGCGTTTCCAGCTATCTGGAATTTATTCTTTGTATACTCACAATGCAGCTTATCATGTTCCTTTGTTCTTATATCCCTGCAAATTGCCAGTTGGATCCTGAAACTTGATCCCATTCCTATTAGATCCCTTTGGCAAAACTACAGGTGGTGTTATGTTCTTTCATCATGAGCTACCTAATACCTGGTTGTCTCTCGTTTTGTGGTGTTACCAGCTGTTGATATTCAATGCCTTGATTCTTTTATTTATTGTAATACTCTAATTATGTCATTTCTTAATCATTTATAAGTTAGAGTTTTTTTAATAATGGAGTGCTGTTGTTCATATACTATTTGGACACCCAGTGGTACAGTGTATTTTGAAAAGGAAGAATAAATACTTGTTTTCTTGCCCCACATTTACTACCTTTGTGAGGAATAATTCACATACCATATATTTCATTAAAAATGTACAGTTACCTATTAAAACAGTTGAATGTTTGTTTTAGTATACTCACAGAGCTGTGCATCAGTTTTAGAAATTTTCATTACCCAAAGAAGAAACCCCACGCCTTTTGTCCCTCTCTCCCAATCTTTCCTCCAACTTATTCTGGACATTTCTTATAAGTGGAATAATACAATATATTGTCCTTTGTGACTGGCCTCTTTTACTTAGGCAAACCTTGAAAATGTGCACTGTCTTATAGCAGGTATCAGTACTTAATTTATTTTTCTTGATGAACTACCATTATACCATATTTTTATATACATTAATCAGTTGATGAACATTTGGATTGTTTCTACTTTTTGGTTATCAATATTGCTATTATGAACATTTACGTATGTGTGGACATATGTTTTCATTTCTCTTGGAGAGGAATTGCTGGACCACATGGTAACTCTGTACCCCAATAATCTTGAGTAGCTTCATTATAGCAGGATGTTCCAGGCTCACCTTGTACATTTTCTGCTCCACAGCTGGAATGGTCATTTCTTTAAGACACTTGCTTTCTTTTAGTAGCAAATAGTATTTCAAGATTCCAACTTGGACACTAGGGTTATTTGTTACTATATTGGTCTTCTTTCTGGACATCCTTAATGACTAGTGAAGAAATACATAGTTCATCAAGTATATGTTCACTATGCGCATCGATATATTAAATATTTATTATTTGTTTATACACTAAATAATGAGATATTCATTAATTGGGCTTATATATTTTAAGTAAATAATTAAAGTAACCTCAGGAATTCATTCTGATTCAAGTCAGCATTTTTAGTTAGCCTCTTGTATTACATCTCCATGACCTTTCTTTCACGCCAAAAATCTTAGCTGTCTCAGAATAACAGTACTATCACCACCAGTGTGTTTACTGAAGAATAGTTAAGTGTTTTTGCTTTGCCCTTCTTTTTCACCCCTGATTTTTACATGCAGAATAATGAAACTAGACTACCTTCTTCCACCACACACAAGGAAAGATTCAAAATGGATTAAATACTCTGTTGTTACTTGCTTCTGTGCAAGATTAGTTTTCCTGAACTTTTAGGTAGCTATGCTTCTGCCTTCACTGAGCTTTCTTTTCTGTTATTTTGTGTAACATTCAGAAATGTAGCAGCTTGCTTCCTGAGGTTTCCTGTGTTTCCCTCCCTCAGTTTTTTCTTTGCCTTGTCTCTATCCTGACAATTTTGCTTATATTCCCAGATGTTTCTCTTCAACATGGAGTCCTGGAAGAGAGCCTTGGGAGATGAATTTCAGAAGTTCATAGAAGTTAGCTTCAACACTTTAAGCCTTATCTAGGCCTCTTGGATTCACCCACTTACTGCACTTGACAAATTTCCTTCCAGGTTTAGCTATTATACTCAGTTGGCCCACCACTATTTCCAGTGAATATCTGTTGGCTATTCTGAGGTTATTCTATAATCACATGCCCTGTTACTTGCCTTTGCTTCTTGTTGGATAGATGCTGATACTGTGTAGGTATTGTGGTTATACAGTAGCCTGTTTTGTCCTTACCCATTTGTATTTCAGATTTCCCAAGAATGCCTCTTCAAGTGATTTGGTTGTGAATATCCATGGGGTTTTGGTTTTGCTATTTTGTTACTCTGGTTTTCTGTGGGGATTTGGGTATCACCTGCCACTATCTTCTCAGAATTCCTCAGGTAAGACATTAAAAGCTTATCCTATCAGTAAGAAAACAAACCAGAGATAGTAGGTAACCTATTCATGTGGGTATAGGACCTTGCCAGTGCTAGGGCTAACAAGGGAGAAAATCCTAGGTGGAAAGGACAGTTGATTTAATCAGGCCAACGTGTCCCCAAGCCAAGAAAGAACTGCTAGGACTTGATTCATTTGGTGAAGTTCAGTGGTGAAATGTCTAGTCTCATCATTTCCATTGAGGTTTTTATGAGCTTTGCTAAATTAACACTGAGTGTTACATTCGCAGTAAAAATGTAATTTGAGTTAAACAGGCAATATTAAAGCATATAATACTTGTTAAATTCCTAATCAGACAGTGTTTGCCCAGCGTTTATTAACTTAACTTATTTAACCTTGAGGCCATGCTGATAGAGAAAAAGGGTATATTTATTTGGGTTCATGATTAGAATTTCATATGGGAAAATCTTTAAAAGTGTACCACACATTCTTTGTTCTGAAAAATTAAAAAAAATTTCAAAGTTCAAAAATCTTATGGTTGCTGCTGGGAAAAGAGTGCTAGTGTAACAGCCTGTGTGGTGAAGTTCTCAGATGTATAGATATTTCAGATAACCAGTGTTGTTCTCTGCCTGCTGGAACTTACTAGACAAAGCTAGTGACAGCCACAGAACTCCTGACTAATCAGATAAATACTCAAATTGTACACTGTGGTTAACTTGTAAGTGACCTCCTAGTGTAAATTTTCTATTGAGGAAATAGAAAACAGCAGCTAGAGATACAAAAGAGTCAAAAGTAGTTTATGTAGTAAAAAGTGGCTAACCTTGGGATTTAGCAGCTGTAAAATGTAAAGGCCACCATTTAAGCTACTGTTTTCAAGATGGCCACATGAGTTTACAGTTTTCTCTTTTCTTTCTTTAAAATTTTTAAATGGAATTTTTTAAAGGACAATAAATTTATAATTAATAATGAGAGTAGAGCCATCAAGAAATGATAGTTTACTGTTTTGAACTTGAGGTGAATGGTAGAATAATGTCAGGTGGAATAAAATCTACCACCTACATATGCCCAAAGCATGGTAACGGCGGGGGGGGAGAAGAAATCCAAAGATTCAGGGCTTGGAATGTGCAAGTGTGATGAAAGGTAGAAGAGAAAATAGAGACTGAAAACAGGGTAATTAAATATCAACATAGCAGGAAATCAGATGTTAATTTATGTATATTAAGTTCATTTGTAAAGTTGCTTTAGGCAAGTTACTAAGCTTAAGAAATACAGTATTAAGATGATAATGACATAAAATTTTAAGCATCCAGGCCACAGAACCACATCTGAAATGGTCTCTCACAATGAGTTCAGTCTTGTAATACCACTACTGAGCATTGAATTCCACCACTGCACCGATACTAATAAAGCTCACAAAGGTTGATTCTGACTATGAGAATGTACCCTCAACTTTCTGATTCCCTAAATCACTACGGAATCAAAACTTCAGGATGGTGCACTGATTAGTTGTACCTGCTTCCATGTGCATGCCTTACCTACCAGGTTACAGAGAAAAGAGGATCTGGGTTTTTTGCTGGGGGGCTTGTTAGGGTTTTTGGTTTGGGGTTTTTGTCTTTTTTTTTAAGAGACCAGTAGTTTCTGCCACCAGTTTCTTTATTGAGCTAAGATATTTATCAAGCAGAAGAATATAAAGTTAAAACATTGAGAAACAGCCAGCGATTGCTAAAAATGAGGAAGAAGTAAATGGGAGCCTATAGATAATATTTATGTGTTAGAGATAATTTTATGTAACTATAAGTTATACAATTTTACATAATACATATATTTAGTCAGAAAAACTAAAATTTTAAAAAGGTAAACACAGATGATGACGGATTTGGTTGTTAAGTGTAGGATGAAGAAGGTAGGGGAGGTAAAGATGGCTTCATTTTTTGTAAGTTCTTTTCTACCTGACTTTGTCACATCCATTTATTTGATACATTTAATTAGAAAGAATGCATTTGATGAGAAAATTTTAAAGTTACACAAAATTAAGGGAGATTGGACTAAAGGTTTGTCTGTTCTCATGACTCTAACCGGGTCTAACCGGGTTCTCATGACCCGGGATTCTGTGAATCTATGGTATTATGATTTCAAATCACATTACTGACTTTGTGGCAATTTCTGGAAGCCTCATCTTATTATCTGACATTAGTTATCAAGGAAATAAAAAAGCAAAACCACAATGAATAACACTTCACACCACTAATAAGGCTATAATCAAGTAGTCAAATAATAAAAGTAAAAGTGATGGATGTGGAGAAATGGAACCATCACAAAAATGTTGAAAATATAAAATAGTGCAGATACTTTGGAAAATACTCTAGTAGTCCTTCAAATATACAGTTTACAGTCCTGTTAAATGTAGTTTATGTATGACTTAACAGTTGCATTTCTACATATATACTCAAGAGAAATAAAAATATATGTTCACATAAAAATATGTATAGGAATGTTATAGCAGCATTATACACAATAGCACAAAAATGAGAAGGACAAATGCCATGCATAATACTACTTGACATCAAGTATCTAAAGCAGTCAACTCTTAGAAGTAGAAAGTAGGATGGTACTTTTCAGGGACTAGGGGGAAGAAAATGAATCATTGTTCATTCAAGATGAGCAACTTCTAAATATACATACATAATGTGCATATAGTCGACAGTACATAACATTTCTTACCATAAGAAAAACAAGTATTAATGGAAATACGAATTTTTTACAGAGATAAGAAATCTGAATAGCCACAAAACAAGGACCACAATTTATATGTACATACAACTTAATATTTTTAACCCATAAAAAACATTGAAGTGTTGATATATGCTACAATATAAATGACCTTGAAAGCATTATGTTAAGTGAAAGAAGTCACAAAAATGACATACTACATAATTCCTTTTATATAAAATAACTAGAACAGTCAAATCTATGGATGACTGCTTAGGGCTTAGAGGGGTGGGGGTAGTGTAGGTTGATATACCTAAACAGCCTGGGGTTTCTTTTTGGAGGTAATGAAAATATTCTAAAGTTGACAGTGGTAGTAATTGTTGCACAAATATGTGAATATACTAGAAACTATTGAGTTGTATACTTTAAATAGATGAGTTGTGTGGTATTGTCACCCGAGTGGTGGTGGTATTCTGGAGACATAGGTTCTTGACCTCTTAAAGATTTCAGACGAGACACAGATACAAAAGCAGGCAGAAGTTTATTGACAAAAGGAAAGTATACTTAGAAGATTTCCAAATGGGAAGCTCAGACCACTTAGGGTTTTTATGCTCCCTTGAAATTCCCCTGCTGGCCTGCTGGCTTCCCCTCATTACTTCCTGTTCATGTCTGCATCTCTGCCAGTGATGGGCTGTGTTACACCTGTGCCAAATCTGGGCAGCTGTCTGGTTATGAGCTGATTGTTACGCATAAGGTCGATATTTCCATACCCCACTGGTCCCCTCATTTATGTTTAGGGTTAATATTTTCTTTTCCTTATCTGTCCCTTCACTCAACTCATGCCTAGCTAGCTACCTACACTAACAGTATGTAAATTTTATTTTAACCAACCATTTTTAATAATTTTAAAAAATAATTAAAAAGATAAAACACGTAAGGTTATGGCAGGTCATATGTACTGGGTTGGTCAAAAAGTTAGTTAATGTTTTTTTCCATGTGGTGGCTCTAGTAGTGCTTAGCTATTCTTTTTTATTGCCATGAAAAATTGAGACATTTATTGAATAAGATACAAGAAACATTTTACACAGGACAATGATGCCTCAGTCCCCTTCAATATAGGTACCTTGGGACCTCACACAGTTCTCCCAATCACCATCAGCTGCTCCATTGGATTTTCCTGAATTTCATCGGCATTCTGAAATCTTTTTTTAAAAAATATATATTTGATTGATTATGCCATTACAGTTGTCCCATTTCTTCCCCCTTGATTCCCCACCACCCTGCATACCCCTTCCCCACCATTACCCCTTTTAGTTTATGTCCAAGTGTCACAAGTTTAGATTCCATATTTTTCATACTGTTCTTGCCTTCCCCACTGTCTGTTTTCTACCTACCATCTATGCTACTTATTCTCTGTAATTTCTTCCCCCTTCTCCTCCTCCCACTCCCCTGTTGCTAACCCTCCATGTGATCTCCATTTCTATGGTTCCATTCCTGATCTAGTTGTCCTCTTAGTTTGCTTTTGTTTTCGGTGTGATTAATAACTGTGAGTTTGCTGTCCTTTCACTGTTCATCTTTTTTATCTTCTTTTTCTTAGATAAGTACCTTTAACATTTCATATAATAAGGGCTTGGTGATGATGAACTCCTTGAATTCGGTCTTATCTGAGAAGTACTTTATCTGTCCTTCCATTCTAAATGAAAGCTTTGCTGGATAGATCAATCTTGGATGTAGGTCTTTGGATTTCATGACTTGGAATACTTCTTTCCAGCCCCTTCTTGCCTGTAAGGTCTCCTTTGAGAAATCAGCTGACAGTCTGATGGGAACTCCTTTGTAGGTGACTGTCCCCTTATCTCTTGCTGCTTCTAAGATTCTCTCCTTCATTTTAATCTTGGCTAATGCAATTATGGTTCCTTCTTGGGTCCAGCTTCTTTGGGACTCTCTGAGCTTCCTGGATTTCCTGGAAGTCTATTTCCTTTGCCAGATTGGGGAAGTTCACCTTTATTATTTGTTCGAATGAGTTTTCCACTTGTTGTTGTTCTTCTTCCTTTTCTGGTACCCCTATAATTTGGAACATTTAAAGATGTCCTGGAGGTTCCTAAGCCTCTCCTCGTTTTTTTGGATTCTTGTTTCTTCATTCTTTTCTGTTTGGTCATTTTTTTCTTCCTTCTGGTCCACTCCCTTGATTTGAGTCCCAGTTTCCGTTCATCACTATTGGTTTCCTGTGCATTTCCCTTCATTTCAATTAGTTTAGCCTTAATTTGTGACTGAAATCAACCAGTTCTGTGAGCATCCT